GCGCCTTAGCCGCTTGAGCCACAGGCGCCGAGCCCCTATTTTTGAGGGCATGGCAAGACATGCATATACGTGTGTAGTACTAGTTCTGTTTTTACGTGAATTTTAAAAATTTTTTTTGTGTTAAGTGCCAGCCACATACACCAGAGCTGGCAGGTTCTAATCAAGCCCAGGCCTGCCAAACAATGACAACTACAACCAAAAAACAGCCATGTGTTGTGGCGAGCACCTGTATTCCCAGCTACCTTGGGAGGCTGAGGCAAGAGAATCGCTTATGCCCAAGAGTTGGAGGTTGCTGTGAGCAGTGACGCCACAGTACTCTACCCAGAGCAACAGCTTGAGACTCTTGTCTCACACACACAAAAAAAAGTTTCTCCAGAAAGCAACAGTGATACAGTATACAAAATAATATTCTGACACTGGAATATGGTTGAATTTAGGACAAGAGCATATTTTGCCAACAAAGAGCTAGCAGTGTATTTCTCTTTGTGCACTTAAGGCAGGAGTCAGCAATCTAGCTGACATAATAGTTACATAAAATTTCTTACACCATAATGTTAATGCTAAAATTCCCTTATACTGAAAACAAGTACCTAACCTCTAAGCTGACCACTTGATGGACTGTAACCTAAACATACAGAACTACGCCTGCTGTGCTGATGCATACCTGTGTTACTTGTCTTGTCTCTGAAGATTATTAGGTCAACTTAAGGATGTGGTCAGTGCAGAGAAGCAGTCAACTATAGAGGTTATACTGTATAAGGAATAAATTTAAGTGAAAGATTTTTCTTGAAAGTTTAGGCCAATATATACAGCAAAATAAAGAAGTGGTTGAGGTCTATCCCGATGGGGCTTTTTCTGTAGCCACACATCGTTGGAAACGCCTCATAGAGTAACATTGTGGTTTTACTTTACTCGCAGGACTATTCGTTGGGTCTGTGGGAAAGAACTACAAGACAATTTGTAAAAGTATGAAAGAAAAAACCTAATTAATTTGTTTTTACCTTAGGTGTTGTTGTAACCCACTAATCTGTATTATTCTTGAGTGTGATGGCCTTAGGTAAGTTTTAATAGGTGACAGTGTAATCTTTTGGGAATAGAGTTACAGTTCAAATGATGAATTTAACTGTTCAACTGCTGAATGATACAGACATGAACTAAAGCTTAATTCTGACAAGAGCTGGATGTGTCGATAAAGAAATTTGGATATTAGTTTGGGGCTAGAGTTTCTATAACAATTGGAAATACTTAAGGGCAGCCTTCTAAATATTGGTACTTTCTCTGTAGGAACCAGTATGATTTGAATTCATTCGTTTTTTTCTAAGAGGTAAGTGAAATACTTTGTATTAATTTGCCAAGGACTCAAGTTAGAATAAACATGAATTGAGTATAGCATCACAATATGGGTATAACTAGGAGTCTTAAATTTTAGGTATAAAAGGTGCTGGCAAAATAGGTCACAATATGTTTTTGTATAGAATGAGAAATGATGGAAGGCTGCATAGTCATTCCTACTGTGCATACCACATGTGTTGAATCAGCAGGGATTCATAGTTGCACTGCATGGTATCTGCATTCAGCAGCTTACTCCTGCTGGGGTGTTCAAAGGTCAGTGCCATAGAAATTCAGTATTTGGCATCGTTGGTTTTCTTGGCTTTGTGCATGTTAAACCTGGTATTTCTATTGATACAGTATTTCTATAGTTTATTCCCATTGCTTAGTTTGATACAGTCTTCAGTAGTAACTAATACTTTTTCCCCCCTAGGGTGGTCAAACTGAGAACCAGGCAGATCCATCTACTCTAAAAGTATGATTTTGTATTGTTCGTGTCTAGCTGCTTGCCTCCCCTTATTGGTAGCACTGCCAACTAACAGCTGCATGCAGATACACATTCACAGTGTATGTAAATTTTTTTTTTCTGAGACGAGTCTTCTATTGCCCTGGGTAGAGTGCCGTGGTGTCACAGCTCACAGCAACCTCAAACTCGTTAAGTGATTCTCTTGTCCAGCCTCCCAAGTAGCTGGGACTACAGGCGCCTGCCACAGTACCTGGCTATTTTTTGGTTGCATTTGTCACTCTTGTTTAGTAGGCCCAGGCCTGGCTTGACCCTGCCACCTTTGGTGTATGTGGCCAGTGCCCTACTCACTTAGCTACAGGCGCCAAGCTCCCAGTGTGTATAATCTTGTTTGGAACTGTCCCAAAGCCTCATTCTAAATAAAATAAGAGTGGGCACTGTTGATAATAGTGTTCAAAAATTGTTAATGTGGCTAAATTGAGACACAGGTTATGCTTCCATCACAGTATATGTATTACAGTGGTGACAATGAGACCTGTGACATTTTGCATAGCTGAGTGGAGATTATGTGTAAGAAAAATGTAAAGAATAATGTACTAATGCATTGCACATACATACATGTACATAATGCATTGATTAATGATAGGGATGCTTCTATACAGGTCAGGGTCATCTCTGTCACAGTCATCCACTTCCATATCTTGTCCCTCTGGAAGGACTTCAGGGGCAGTAACACACAGTTATCTTTCAAGATAACTTTTGTCCTAATCTTTTAGAACAGCCTTGAAATACTATGAAATATCTGCCTGAGACTTCTACAGTTTAATGTAAGAGGACGGGGGAATAGACTGTATTTTTATGGCAGTATAGGAGATTTGCTTACACTAGCCTCATCACAATGTCACTCAGGGACTGCATATATCTAATAATACAATTGCAGTCAAATCTAGTAGTTAATTTAAAACACATCTAGATTTTACTATGTCAGTGTACATTCGCATTGGTTATTGATGTTATGATGATGGGCAAAATGTTCAACTGCTCTGAGTGGGCTGAATGAAAATAGCCTTTCTGAACATCGTCCATATGAGAACAATTAGCATGTTTCAAATGGAAGCAGAATCATTCAGCCTATAAAATGTTTAAATTGACTTGAAAAGTTGTAGATAGTTGGAATCTAAGCAAATTCAAGACTGATATGTGTATTTTAATAGTAAACATATGACTTTGAACTTTTTGCACAGGTGGAGAATTTTTAAGTTTTCATCCAAGAAGCGAAAATAAAAAGACTGGCAAGCAACTTTTGGTAAAGTAAAAATTACTTGCTCAAGGGTATAATGGTCATTACCAAGGCTTTTAGAATGCAGTTTCTCAATTGCTGTGGACATGACCATAAAAAAAACTTCCACTAGGTTTTCTATCTGCTACTTTGCTAGCACTCAGCCTACTGGGGACATTTTATTAACCCTTTGTTTTTCTGCTATTGCCTGCGCGTGACCCTGTCCAAGTGGAAATACTAAGCAAGCAACCGTGATTGTCTAATAGATTTTACAGCAGGAATAGTGCATGCTCTTGCACCTTACAGAAGAGATACTTCTGGCCAATTTTAGCTAACTTCAGGATAGCTACTAGGTGGTTTCTTTTATATGATCATCTTTGGAGCTGTAAACTTTTGTTATTATGTAGGGCGAACAAGACAACTGTGGATTGAGGATCTGGTCATTAAAAAAGGTAGGTACACATTAGAAAAAACATTGGTCATTTCAAAGAGGGCTTGTGGAGTTGTGAAACCAAGAGCTCTTAACGCTGTGACCATATATTGATGTTCTCTGTAGGATGCTATAACACTAAATAGTGCTATGTTTTCCTAAGGAGAAGACATAGTAATTCATGATGTAAAGGTCTCAGTCTAAGCAAAGTTTCTCTTTCAGGGCTGTCTTGAAGGTAAATCTTCATTGACTCCAGCCATTGAGATGGACAGCAGAAGGAGAATGACATATGAATTCCTTGAATAAAAATTTATTAATTTTTCCTACTGCCATAATAAAAAAAAACAACTTTTACACCATTTGTAGAAAGTCAGCATGTATTTTTGGCTCGAAGTTTCTCTAGTGTTTTCTGTGGAAAGAATAAAAAAATGTAGCAGTTTCAATTGTTTAGCTTGAAAAACTGGGGCCCCCTCCCTGCTCACCTTATGAAATTCTCTTGCCCTTGTTCTATTTTGGGTATAAGCTGCTGCTTGCTTTGATTTCTCTTCCTTTTGTCTCACTTCAGCAAATTGATTGTGTAGTCTAGGAAATTGACATGGAATTAAAGACATACTGCAGGGAAAAGTGCCTTAGTAAAAAAAAATACATCAACCCTTCAGCTCTACCTTAGTGCCCTCTGTTGCATGAGGGTTTTTCTGTCTTCAGAAACTGAGGCTCCATCTTTAGTCACACCCTTCCGCTGAACAGATGAACCTAAGAAACAAGTGATTTGATAAATGAAAGGCCAAAAAAACATAATAATGAACTGAAATTACTCAGGCCTTAGCTATTCAGGAGGTAAGTCTAAGGTTAATTTGTTAAAGTTACACACACCTATAGTTGGTTTCTCCTGAACTAGTTTGATTTGAGAATTCACATAAATTTTATTCCATATTTCTTTCTGCCTCTGGTAGGATCTTTCCATAAATGATTTTTTTCTCTTTACAAATGCTTCTTGTAAACTCTCTAGGAGAGACTCTGGAGGGGGTAAAAATACTTCAATTTTAGCAAGCAGCTCCCATTGGACCCTGCAATCAAATCATTTCAGCATACTCAGGCATACCTGTAGACACCGTTGGCTTCTCCATTGAAAGCTCTGACACAGCTGGATAATCTGAGGCATCTGTTTTTGATGCAGGAGGCAGACATTCACTCACCTAATGGGAAGAAAAGTCATATATGAGTTTTGTAGTTTTTGCTAAGTCTTTAGGGAAGGAAGGATTGTAGTATGGTATGACACTCTTTGTGGGTACAGTTGTGTGGTGGTGGATGCTCTCAAATTCATGTTTCCCCTAAAAGGCTCTTACATAGGTGTACATCTGACCAGGGCCACAAAATAATTCCTAATGACTGCCAGATTCTGTTACCTTTTCAGTGCAATTAAAAGGGAAATCATGTCAAAAAAATAAGCCATCCTACCTTATCACCCTTTCCCTTAAATAAAATTCATGTTATTTCATTATCTTTCCAAAAAGAATTACCAGTTGTTCCATATCTTGGGGTATACTTACACCTTCTAACTTGGTAAAAAAAAAAAAAAAAGTCCTGCCACAGTGTTGGGAGGTAGGCATGAGTTCTAGAAAAAAGGTTTGAGATTGTGGAGTCTGAGGTTGCTGTGAGCTAAACCTGAAACTACTGGCCTCAAGTGATCCTCTTGCCTCAGCCTCCTCAGTACAAATGCCAGGCTCATTTTTCTATTTTTTAGTAGATCTCATTCTTCAAGCTGGTCTTGAACAAGAACTCAAGTGATCTTTCCACTATAGCCTCCCAGAGTGCTGGGATTCCAGGCATGAGCTACCATGCCCAGCCTCTCTTTGTTCAGGACTTATCTGCAGCATTGTGTGGTGATGATTACAGAGAAAATGCATAGTAGTTTATATAAACTGTCACTGGTAAGGCTGTCAATTTTTTTTTTTTTTTTGGAGACAGTCTCAAGCTCACAGCAACCACTGACCCTTGCCTCAGTTTTTCTTCTAGTAGTAGAAATGAAATCTTGCTTTTGCTCAGGCTGGTCTCCAACTCCTGAGCTCAGCTAATCCACTTACCTCAGCCTCCCAGAGTACTAAGATTACAGGCATGAGCAAGCCTGACCCTGTGTCACTTCTTGACTGAGAAGTTTCAAAATTACTGAACAACCTGCACTCTTCATCTCAGGTCTGGATTTCCTTACCCAACTTGAAGGATACTTTCTTTTGTCTCAATGCAACTCAAGACTTAAAGGTATCTGTAGCATCATAAATATTCATTATTTAGAACTATCATGGCAGTGTGCTGTCAGTTTCTTGCTAACACATACAGCTTACTGCATTTGAATTTAACTGGGAAAGTTTGCAAACAATTCTGAGAAAAGAAAAAGGTTTTTTCCAGTTCTAGATTGGTACTGTCAATAAATATGCATAAGGTATGAAATTTACCTGGAAACTATCTGCCTCTCGCTCTCTTTCTTCTAGTGTTAAGTTTGCAAAATCCGTTTCAGCAATACTGATATCACTGGTGCTTACTAAAGTAAGTTCTGGTTCTTCCATTATACCATGGCCAGATTCTGTTTCCTTTTCAGTGCAATTAAAAGGGAAATCATGTCAAAAAAATAAGCCTTATACCTTTATTTTACATTTCGTATAAATGTGAAAATTATAGAAGGAAAAAAACAATTCCCCTTGAGCCCTCCCCCTCCAGCATTTACTTGTAGAAATAATGGAGAGGACTTTGAGGATCTAGGATTGGGGAAAACTGTAACTGAATGTACTACAAGAATTACAAACTTAAAAGGGGTAGGCAGCTAGTATGAGGTCAGGTTGAAGGGCCATGCAGAACTGGAGAGTACATCCTATCTAAAGGGAAAAGTGGGCAGCTACTGGGTTGTGACCAAATATTGACCATTGCTACCACATACATTTTTCAAAGGGAATTATTTAAAACACGGAATAAGAATTTAAAGTCATAAAAACACAAGACAAGCAGCCAAATAAAACACATCTGTAGTGTAGTGGAAGGATAAGACTACATACATAATATTACAGTGTAAAATGATGTTCAACCACAAGCATGATTATCTTAGGCATACAACAAGTAGTTTTGTTTTTCTTGCTTTTTGTGACAGGAAACTCAAATTCTATGTAAACAACACAGATTTTACTTACCCAGATTGGAATGGAATTCTGTAATGAAAATGATCCAGAATTTCCAGAGAGCTCTGATTGTCCTAGTTGAGAAAGATTTTTCAGGAATTTTGGAGTTTCAGTTAGAGCTGAATTTGAAATTCCTATCTCCACTGTTACACACACTGGAGAGTCAATCTTGTCTACATGAGGATTTACGTCTAAAACTCCACAGGCTTTGTTTTTATCATCAATGAGTTCTTGACTTTGTAACATGGTAACCCCTCTTTCTGGTAGTCCTTCAAGGCCCAGTGTTTCTTTTCTGCTTTCTAGTTGCTGTTTTGTTGAGCCCTCACCAGCGGTAGAACCGCAAGGAGCACTATGTTGAGTGTTTAACTGACCAAATACATTTAAGTTAGCCTCATCAGATGGACTGTGGACTGAACTTCTCGTATTTTCTACAGAGAGCTGGAAATGAATGCTTTTATTCTTATTTAGTAATATTTCAGTATGTTCCTCAGAGGAATAGTTCTGATTTTCTGTGCTTTGGAACAAATCTCTTGCTTCGATGCTAAAAATACTTGGTAGATCAGCATGTTCACTTCCCTCCTGTGAAGAAAATTCTGGCAGAAGCTGTTGATAAGATTGTTCAGATCCTGCATTAAAAAGTTTAGGAAATCAGTTAATCATGACTATATGTTGTAAAACTGGAATATAGACATGGACTTTAATAGTTTCTAAAATAGATTACTCCTTATAATTTTATGAGTGAAAGGTGATATAAACATAATACAAAGATAAGGCTGGTCGCAGTGATTTTTTTTTTTTTTTTTTTGAGACCAGTCTCACTATGTTGCCCTCGGGTAGAGTACGGTGAAGTCACAGCTCACAGCAACCTCAAACTCTTGGGTTTAACCGATTCTCTTGCTGGACCCTCCCAAGTAGCTGGGACTACAGGTGGCCGCCACAAATCTGGTTATTTTTGTTACAGTTGTCATTTAGGTGACGTGGGCTGGGATCAAACCAGCCAGCCTCTGTGTATGTGGCTGGCGCTGTAACCACTGTGCTATGAGCATCGAGCCAGGTCACAGTGATTTTTAAGTAACTCTACAGCTAACACCATGTATGGTCTCCTTTTCTAATATTTAATAAAGATAGTATGGCTGTAAGACAATAAGGATATTTTCCCCCTAACAGAACCACATATTAAGATTTAATAAACAGAAATGACTCAGGATAAGACATGCATGTCTATCTCATGTATTTATGTATATGTGTATATACGTAATTTGTACAAAAAGTTCTAGAAGGACACTTAAACTATTAACTGCAAGGATTCAGGTAGGGAAATTGTAGAATAAGTGCCAATGCTTTTGCTTTTTATAAAGTTCAGTACTGTAAAAAAAATACACATGGTATGTTATTTAAATAAATACATAATTAAAGAAAGAAAACTTGTAACTCCAGGGACGGGGGTGAGGACAAACCAAGAAATGCCAGACATAATTTCTAAGGAAACCATAAAAAAAGTACCAGGTTTTCTTTAACTTTTCCTTAGTCATACATACCCTCAATAATATTTTCTGGAGCAAAACTCTGAGCTGCAGCATGAGCCAAGTTAGTGTCAATTTGCTGATTCAGCCTTGTGTTAAAAGAAGAACGCAGGCTGGTGCTCCTCAATGCTGTGAAAGAAACTGTACTTTTGCATGATACAGTAGCCTGGTGGCTTTGCAATGACTCCGAGCTCTGACAGAGAACAACAGGGAAAGGCTGAAACATTAATTACATATTCCCAATTGAATCAATAATCATAATACTCCTTTGAAATTTTCCTTCCCTAACGTATCACTTGACTATCACAGTAATAGTTCCCTTATTCAAACCCAATACTTCTTTACAGTCAATATGCAAGAGACTTTTTTAAAAGGTTAGAAAACAAACAGTGGTCCAGACACAGTGGCACACACCTATAATCCTAGCACTTTGGGAGGGGGAGGCTGGAGACAAGCCGTAGCAACATAGTGAGATACCTGTCTACCTGTCTCCAAAAAAAATTTAAAAATTACAAGGCTGTGGTGGTACATGCCTGAAGTCCCCACTATCTGGGAGGCTTGAGATCAGGAGTTTGAGGCTTCTGTGAGCTATGACAATGGCACTGCACCCTAACCTGGGCAACAAACCTAGATCCTGACTCAAAAAAAAAAAAAAAAAAAAAAAAAGCCAGGCACAGTGGCTCACGCCTATAATCTTAGCACTCTGGGAGTCCGAGGTGGGTGGATTGCTTGAGCTCAGGAGTTAAAGACCAGCCTGACCAAGAGCAAGACCCCATCTCTAAAAACAAAAAAATAGGCATTATGGCAGGGGAGGCTAAGGCAAGAAGATTGCTTGAGCCCAAGAGTTTGAAGTTGCTGTGAGCTATGATGCCATGGCATTCTAGACAGGGCAGAGTAAGACTGCCTCAAAAAAAAAAAAAAAAAATTGTAAATTAACCAGATAGAGCATAGAACATGATGAGATAATTTTTTTAGCTGAAGGTCTGCCCTTCAGCTCCTTTACTGAATAGGAAGAGAATAATTTTGCAGAATCATATTTACCAATTTAAATTACGTTACACAGTTAAAAGTTTTCAAGTCTCTATGGCAGCAGTTCTCAACCTGTGGGTTAAGATCCACGGGAACTGTATTAAAAGGCTGCAGCATTAGAAAAGTTGAGAACCACTGCTTTATAGAATCATAACTACTAAATGGAGATTACAATTGAAAGGACAAAGAAAATAAAACTGCAGCTGTTTTCAATTTTGGTTTCACCTTAGAATCATTTGGGAGAGTTTTAAAAGAATTTCACAGTATCTGAGCACTGCCACAGATTCTGTTTTAATTGGGCTGGAGTGTAGTCTGGCCATTTTTTTTTTTTGGTAGTTTTTGGCCAAGACTGAGTTTGAACCTGCCACCTCTGGTATATGGGGCTCCAGCATATACCTTGAGCCACAGGCACCACCCATTCTGACCAATTCTTTAAAAGCTTTCCACATGATTTTAATAAGGTTAAGAACCATTGTTTTAACTGAAGATTTGAAATTGTGGCTATTCAGTGCAATGAATCTAAGTTAGTATACCTGGTAAAAGTCTCTGTTGTCTTGAGAAATCACGGAGGATGATGATGATAAGTCAAAATCTGGATGTGGCTCTAAGGGTTTAAATAGCTGACGATGCAAATTTGGAAAAATGTGTTCCAGTTCTGGAAAGTCAAGGTCAACTATTGGAATTTTGAGAGAAAAAAACAGATACATTTTAAAAATTTAACACCTAGAAAAGGAGTATTAAAAACATCCGTAAAAGCTTATCTTTACTTAATGCCAATGCAACAAAACTGCTACCATTTCCCCCCCTTGACTGGCTGATACTTTCAAATTAAAGATGGTATACATAAGTAACATACATACTTTCAAATTAAAGTACCAGCCAGTCAAGGGGGGGGAAACGGTAGCAGTTATCATTAATAATCTATCATTATTTTCAAAAGCCAAAAAAATTATGGATCCTCTTAGTGACCAAAACTTAAAACAAATATAAATTTCCATTTCTGCCAGCTCCAAAGCTTGAATCCAGGTCTGAGTTCTGAGCTCTTACTTTCAATACTGGCAAGGCTATGTCAGCTGTAATATGAATTTTGCAGTGGTAAAGAATGATTTGGAAGATAATCTCCACATGTTCTTGAGTCTAATTGGTTCCAGATGCCCTTTCTCACTAAATGCCCTCAGTATTTTGTATGGTATAACTGCGCTGCAGCAGGCCAGGAAAACATGAAGCTCAAAGAATCACTACTTAAAACTAAAAAGAATGAAAGGCGAAAAGTTAAACACTATTTATATAAAAGCATTCCTTTAAAATAAGTTTACCAGGTGGCACCTGTGGCTCAGTGGGTAGGGCGCTGGCCCCATATACCTGAGGGTGGCAGGTTCAAACCTGGCCCCGGCCAAACTGCAACAAAAAAATGGCTGGGCATTGTGGTGAGTGCCTGTAGTCTCAGCTACTTGGGAGGCTGAGGCAAGAGAATCGCCTAAACCCAGAAGTTGGAGGTTGCGGTGAGCTGTGTGACACCACAGCACTCTACCATGGGACATAAAGTGAGACTGTCTCAAAATAAAATAAATAATAAATAAATACAATGAAATAAGTTTACCCCGCAGGTCTGTTTTTGCCGGTATCAAATCTGCTTCATTTATGTACTTGTCAGTGATCTGCTGAGAGTGTACGTGACCAGATGTAAACTCTTCCACTGCAGGTAAAAGAGATTTATGATTGTCTGAAGAGTTCTGCCATTGATAAATAACTTGTATTGAAGGAACTAAAGAATTTAAAATACTTGTTTCCTCCTCTTTTTTGGTGGTAGATTCTTGTTCCCTGTCATCCATGTGCTCTGCAAATGAACCTGAAAATTGAGTTTAATGAAAATATTTAATTGACATCAACACGATATTCCTTTTAATAGCTAGGTACTTCCTTGGAGACATAACTTGGTAGAGAGGCACAGCAATATGTTGCTAAGACAAAAAAGAAAAATGCAACTAAGAAATTTGCTTAGATAATTCCCATTGCATGGGAAAACGTGACATTAGCAAATTCTTTTCCAAAGTATTGTTGGAGATAGAGCATCCTTGTTACTTCCAGTCATGTTTAGAAAACTATACTGTCCAATATTCTACTGAGTATGAATATTTTACTTTTGAGATTTAGAGAAACACTCTCTCCCTCACAATGTATTGAGAAATAGCAATGCGTCTACTCTCCACTGTGTCACAACAAAACTGGTGCTGGTCTTTCAATTTATTTACATTTTGCATCATTACCTGCATCTGTAAGGCTCAAATCTAAGTTGTCATTACTTAAAAGGCTCCCAGTAGAAACAGTTACTGAAGATGATGGTTCATGAGAAATCTCTTGTGTTTTAGCCTAGAAATTAAGGAGAATATTAGACCATGTTGTAGGAAGTAATATCTAGAAAAACCCCACACTTTCAACCAAAGCAGCTGCCAATTCTGAGCTCAGGTCAAGTGTAGAAACCTTCATAGTTAAAAGATCAGTAGTAGAAACCTTTTCATCATTGCTCAGATATGACTAGCATTTCCTACACACACACACAGACACACACATAAATACACAAAAATACACACGCCCAGTCTCATTCATTAATCAGCACAACACTCAGTTATCCACTGTCATTTTTACAAACACACACACCCCTGACCACCCCCGAGACAAAAGCCCTCATTGCTTTATGTTTATAGTTTTGCTTCTCAGAACTGTAGAGATCATGCATCAGGTAGACTGGAATGTCTTCTGATGTTCAGATTTGGCTATTTTCATCATTGATCCACTTCAGTAAGAGCAGACCTCAGAGAACACAGCCTTTAATATTTTATAACTTCTATAAACAAAAAGAATATGAAGCGAAATAGCTCTAAACATTCAGTAAACATCATTACTGACCTCATTATCTGGCTTTATGGTTGGACCCGGATACGTGTACCCTTCTTTCTCAACAGCATGACTTAATACTGCATGATTCTCAACAGACTTCTTGACCTTGACTGAAAAACAGATTTTTGAATTCAAAGTGGAGAAAAAAAGGTTTGGATCAGACAAATCGAATTCTCAGCACCAGAAGGCACCATCCCTTGCTTTCTTATAATTTGTTTTCCTCTTTTGCTTCTTAGAGTTGTTTTATTTTAGACCAAAGAAAAACTTCACTTTGTTATTTCTAAAAAACATTTACTAGTCAGCACAATATAC